CTGCAACAAATATTCCGGGCCACGTGGTGGACTGACGCATCATTTGATGCCCATAGCACACTCCGAGCACCGTTACAGGAATGTACCAATCTGAGAGAATACAGTATATGCCCTAAATACACTACATGCGGACATCCAAACATTACAACAATACTGTATGTTAGTGTTTCCCAACCCTTTGGGCATGTGACCCCTTGAAACAAAGCTATGCCCAGGGATGTCCCCGAATTTTAATACATTCTTCGGGAAAGCACAAACACTGGATGGAAACAGACTTTTTTTTTTCCTGAAGTTGCTTGTTACTATTCAGGAGTGAAAAGAGTCTGCTCAGGAATGTGAAACCATGTGAGAGTGAAACAAAAGAAAGGTGTTAAATCAGCAGCTGCAGCAGAGAAGAAGCTGCGAGTCTGTTTGCGGCTGCAGGAGGCCAGAGGCCGAGTGTCAGAGGGATGTGTTTGTGAACAGTAGCTTCAGCAAGGCACAATAATGCACTAAAATTAAGGATGATGTAAATTTGGGTATTGTTTACCATTCTGCTGTTCGGCATAGTTAAGAATAAAGATTTAATGCAACACTAGGCGAGCATGTTAAGGGACACAAATCAAATGCATGTTGTTGCGTGATGAATGGGGGCATGCTGGGTTTGGCTACATGCTAAAATGCTCACAGTGGGTCCTCCAGTGATAATTTATAAATTTGCCACATTGCTGAGGACCTGCTACCTTCAATGAGGTGTATGAGGCCTTTCTGCTGTTTTTGACCATTTATGTCAATGTGACTATGGAACCTCTCAGTGCAAAATGTTGAGGAGTGCAGTGAAACAAAGAGCTGGACTGGTTATGCTAGGACACAGAGACTAATCATAGTGGGACAGACGCAGAGGACTGGTGATAATATGAACTGATAATGATCAAGCAAAGAAGTTAAAGCAAGTGCAGATTGTTGCAGACTTTGCGGTCACAGAATGACGTTCAGACAGGTGAGTTGCCTAGCAACATAGCATTGTGTGTGTGCATGCTACGCGGTGTTAAAAACTCTGTAGCTCTCTTTGCTTTGCTTTGATTTGTGTGGAGTTTATATTGTACATATATCTCTGTGTTGTCTGCTTTGGTGGTAAATGGGCTGTACTTATACAGCACCTTTCTAGTCTTCTGACCACTCTAAGCGCTGTATTACACTACATTAACCCCATTCACACAAAGTGGCTACCATGACAGGTACTAACTGCTCATCAGAAACAGGAACTGATCATCCACACGCTCTCACACACCAATGGCACAATCATCAGGAGCCATTTGGGGTTCAGCATTTTGCCCATGGACACAGTTCATAAAACTATGTAAAATTAACCGGATGAAAAGTGCAGTATGCATGGAATCAGTTTGATGCTTTGAAGCCAAAACAATTGCATTAACCAATGAATATAAGGTTAGAAAATACAACATTTGTCCGATTTAATGCAACTTCCTGTATAAACCATGCCCACGTCTGGTCCTCTGTCCAAACAGGGCTACATATTAGTAACATTAGTTTGTCTGTTAAACAGATACAGATAATGACATATCTGTACACCTCTGTCTACTTACTAACCGTCTTTACTGGTTGCACATGATTGCAAATTAGCAGTTTAAAGGGTGAGTTTTCCTTCTCAGATTGTTTTATTTGAATACGTTTTAGGGGGCTATGAAGAGATAAGTTATCCAGACATTTACTAGAAAAAAAACAGCATAATTTTGTGCAGCACAATTAATCCAAAAGTGTGGGCATTAATCAGCTGCTAACAGCCTGCAGCCACCTGCAGGGATTTGCTTCTATTCAGTCACAAGAGCATTAGTGAGGTCCAACACTGATATTGGGTGATTTCCCTTCATTGGAACTAAGGGGCCTACAACAAACCACGAAACAACAGCTCCGGACCAAAAGTACAGTGGACAGTGTCCTCACACTTTGGGACATTTAGTGAACGCTTTGGGCAAAACAAACCTATTGCAGCTGCTGCTCTCTCAGACCAAACAACAGCGACCAACAGACCCCACTTCCTGCAGCTGATATTTTCTCAAGGTGGCAGGTTTCTCCGCAGCCGAGTTCATGAAAGTGACGAGCCTTGTGATTCCCGCCAAGGCGTCAGCTGTGTGAGGCACGCTGCAGATGGAGAAACGGACAGAAAACAGCTTCTAGGCTTTTACTATTTTGAAGCAAAGGAAGCAACCCCCCCCCCCCCCCCCCCCCCCTTCAGGTAGTCTAATGCAGGATTCCACACAAACCATCAGCTGTGAGCTCATGCACAACACTCCCATGATGTAACATTGTTGTCCAGTATATATCATCTCATTTTCATAAGCCCTTCAAAAACCCCCTTAAAAATCTTTAAACAAGGCTTTATTCATTATGTCATAAAGTTGTAAGAAACACATCCCTCAGGATAATCAAAAGCTTTTTCAGTCTTAAGTTGATCTGGCTAACAGCAGAGCAGATGCAGTGAGTCGGTCTGTAGCTAATCCTGCCACTGCGAACAGGTTCCTGGATTGATCCTCCATAATCTTACATTAAGAGTTTAAACATAAGAGGAATCCCACAGTCTTAACACTGATTGCATGCCCCTGAAAGACGTAGAAAACACTGATTTACATGTTTACTTCTTGACAACGTATTCATAAACGTTTACTGAAAATCACAGCGCACACAACCACAGATGAGGCCAAAAAATCAGTGAGTAGGAGGAGCAGAGAGAACAGGAAGTGGAAGTGTCTGACAGATGTATTTTCCTCAGACCCAAAACACAGATAACAGGAGACCTGTTATCAGTGGGAAGTCCAGTTTGAGACATTCCCACAATCCAACATCTGTCAACATGAAACACGCATCAGAGGTAGCCAAAGTAATGAAAACAGCTCAGGGTGAAAGGACTTTGATTCTGAAGTAACTTCATGCCAGCTTTAAATGATGTTATATATTATGTTGAATAACAATTGGATATGATGGTTTTCTTTCTCTAACATTTTAACATTGCAAAGGGTAATTTAAAAAACCCAAACTAATTATTTCTGGAAAAAAACAACATTTGTGGCACAGTGCCACATTCTGTTACTTCACGATGCAAGACATGCTTCATGTTATGAACAAGACAAAAATTACTTTGTTTTTTCCAGAGTCTTGCTCAAGGGCACTTGTATATATCTACAACGTTGTTCTTCCATTCCATATTTACATATATATTTCTACATTTATTTATGTTGACTGTATGTTTGTCTATGTGTAGCACCTTATCACCAAAGCAAATATGTATGTGTAAAACACTACTTGGCAATAAAGCTCCTTCTGATTCTTCTGATTCTGATTCAGCAGGGTGGACACTTTAGGTTCATAAAGAGGCCCGTTGTTCTTGCAGTAAAGTCTTTCTAACCACAAACTCTTCCTTCTTTAGCCACTGTTGTACTGACTGAGAGTGAACTGCAGTTCAATTTAGACATGGCCCCATCAGGACCAAGATGGTGGGTGGCGGTGGACTTGGGGGTCACCAGCGCTTATGGAAGGGAACAGAAGGTCACTGACGGTAAATCTGTGCCCACCAGCAGCTTCTCTTTACATCGCCGGATGTTGTTTTTCATCCTTGTTCACAGGGGAAAAATACACTTTCCTCCATGTTTCTCACAGAGCCGAGACCACAGGATAATCAAAATATGATGTAACAACATCAGAGGCAAAAAGTACTGCAGTGACAGTACTTGAGTAAAGGTACAGTTTTGAGATTGTGGTATTTTTTTATTTGAAGTATTTCTGTCTTAAGTGTTGTTTTGTCCTTTAGCTACATCTCAGAGGGAAATCTTTCACTTTTTGTTTGTTTGTTTGTTTGTTTCAGCCTTGTGCTTTCTCCTGACACTGAAACTCTTCTTTACTATGATCATTTTCACTTTTGATACTTAGGGTAGCTTTACTTATTTTCTTCCACTTGAGTAAAATGTCTAATGCAAAACTTTTACTTGAAAATTGGAGTTTTTAAAGTGTGTTATTGATATTGTATTTAAAGGGACACCCCACTCATTTTACACATGAAGATCAGTTACCTCATCATGAGCTGATGATGTCATAGTGATGTCATCAGAGTAATCTCGTCTTGGATTTCTGAAGTTTGAAAGACATTTTTCCAGTCAGGGATGGTCAAGTGAAAAATCTTTTGAAGTTGCATTTTGGGATGTAGGATCCCTCTTTTAGAGGAAAAAATGTATGCCAGCCTCTGTTGCATCAGTTCTGACCATTATTTTATCATTCTGTCTCTTGTGACTCCCTATACTTTATAAATATGCAAATACCACATCACTGGAGTGGAGTGGAAGGATTTCTTCCACCACTGAGTTCAAACCATTCAAGGCAGAAATCTGATATTTCCACCAGCAGCACACTTGGATTAAGACACCTCAGCAGCACCTTCATTACTCTTATGGCTAGACTAAAGGCTGTTCTACTGGAGCAACGAACAATGTGTTCTTGACCAATTTCTGGAAATTTCCCGTGGAGTTTCGTGACAACGCAGTCTAAATGCTATGCTGTAGTACGTCTTAAAGTTTTCGCAGCAGGTTGGTGAAATGTGGCAAAGTCACTGGAGAGACAGAGGGAGGAAGAGAAAAAATAATACAGAAAGTGAGAAATTGAAGCAGACAACAGGAGAAGCAGAGCGAAGCGAGGAGCAAAAGACTGTGAGACAGAGTTTTCTTGGCAGAGCTCCCTGAAGCGCTGCACATTCCCACAAGATTAATTGAAGCTGTTTCTGTTTTTGTTTTTTCAGTCTGTGAATTACCTCCCAGATTATAGAGAAACAGCTGTTCACCCACTTCTCCCGGACTCAGCCCGTGTGATTATGCATCGAGTGACAACCAAGACAAACACCCAGCACTCACTCGAGCCGCTCCGACGACGCCATCACGCCTTTTTGATGTTCTTTCCATTTCACAAACTGTCACTCATTTGCATAACGATTAATAAAACAAATCAGACACAATAACTACAACGACAAAGAAATTTATTAAATCTTTTTTTCTTGTTTGTTTTAGTTAGTCATAGCTGCTCCAACATGTGTATTTACAAAGAAATGGCCTTTTTTGTAGAAAATTCTAGTGAGCGATTGAGCAGGAAACAGACAGTTTAGATGAGTACAGGAGAGAATGGGACTCAAATAGGCACAAGGTACAGTTACTACAATGGTAAAAGAAATGTGCAGTTTTGTGGCACATCCATGTCTAATTTGGGAAAGAAAAGCATAGCTATGGCTACAGTAACAAAAACCTTCCCAATTCTAGATGCACTGACAAAATCACACATCCTTTTAGAAGATACAGAGGATGGAGAACAGATGCTGCAAACCAGGGACACAGTGTTAGCTTTAGTACCAAAATCAGGTGAAGAAGAAGTCCTTGTAGCGCGGTTTGCTCAGTAAAAACATGAAACATCAAAATTCGAGGTGGAAAACAGACCTTCTCCTGCTGCCACACACAAATACATTGAGCTTCTACACCAATAAAAGTCAATTGCACCTCTTGAATCCTGCAACATAGTTGTCACGGCGGCCATCTGAACCGCAGTTTGGCTCGGAAACAGCTGGAGGTGAATGTTAGCAAAAGACCACAAACTGAAACAAAGAACATCCTGCACCTTAAAGACACATTGGATGCAACAATACAAAAGAGCGGTTCTGAAAAAGAAAAGGAGGGAAAACAGATCCATCTGTTCTTTCTTCAGGCCCTTTGATTCATGATTGTAACCCGACCGTACTGCATGTTTGATATGTGCCGTGTTTGTGCACACACATTTACAGATAGAGGGTGCAATGTTGATCCTGTTTCATATAAAAGACATATAAAATGAAACAAAGCATTTTTTATATCAAACACTGAATTTCTTTTCTTGCTAACAACAATGTGTCAGTTAAATCACCCTTCAAAAGAGGCGAGAAAACAAGAGAATTATCTTACACTGTATGTTACAACAGACTAATTGATGGATACACAGTATCCACAGAACTAACTGATTGGTTTTTTTCATCGTGGCATGGCTAGAGGCAATGATTACAGTGACAGAGGACTCCTAATGTTGGCCTAACTTGCAATGCATGGAGGTGCTGGTAGGTGTGAGGAGGAAATCATCTTTGATAAAACACTCATTTGTGCCCTCAATTGAAGAGTGTACTGAGCTAAGTCAGGTTTAAGAGAGAAGAGCAACTGAAGTAATCTGAGATTATGTAATAAAAATTTAGTGATTTAAAGGAATGAATTCATGTGAGAAACAACACGAGCATTAAGTGGCAAAGCTAATAATGCTACTAGTTTGAAATAAATAAATATCATTACAGAATTCTGTAATTTGACTAAATGTCTATTTACAGGGGCACCAGCTATACATATCAACCTCAGTTTACTCATCACAGAAAGTAGTTTTTTATAAGAACCTTTTTATAAAGTCCTAAAACATAACCCTGATGATGTCATCATTTATAACAGGAAGCCTTTGTTGTGGAGTTTGAAAGACGTGGGCATTTACCAGGCAGGTACAGTCTAACAAAAGACACTATTGAACTGCATTATGGTTGTATTTGTAGGCTCCAGAATTTGGGGGTTAACCTGTACTTGAGAATAAAACACAGCATATATCAGCCTCTGTTACTTTGGACCTTCTTTTTTAATCTGTCTGTCTGTTGACTTTTTAAGCAAATTACTTTTTTCTTGTAAAATGAAAACTTTATTGTCATTATGACTTTTTAATAAATTCACGACTTTATTGACACTACGTTTTGACTTTTTCTGATAAAATTACAATTATTTTCCTATAATATGACTTTTTCTTGTAACTTTACAACTTTTTTCTTGTATTATCATTATTATTGTAAAATTATGACTTTCCTCTGAAATTCTAATTTACTCTAACATTACCTTATTTTCTTCTCCTGAAATTAAAACTCTTTAATTAACTCTTTAAAATGCTTTCCATTGTTCTCTGTGCTACTTTCAGCTTATCTTTATTTGGTTGTGTTTTCTCACTTTGCAGCATTTTGTCTAAATGTGAAGATGTTTTCTTAATTTGCTTGTGTTTTGTTAAGTTGTAGAGTGGTGAGTTCTCAAGTTCATCATACTTTTATATACTTTTTTCTCAAAATGACAACTTTAATGTCCTTTCAGCTTTTTAATTTCCCCAAGAGGCCCTGTTGTACCAGTCCAGTGATCAGGTGCTACAGGTCAGGGCTGTGGTTTCACTTGGCAGTGAGTGAATGTGAAGGGTATCAGTGCTACTGAGAGTAACGGATGGAAAAAAAGATTGGGCACTCATCTGTATTTTCATATCGTCCTATTGTCATTACCAGGGATTGCCTAAAGTGGCAGATGGTTTCATTAATTGCAAACATGAAAACTAGTTTTGCTCTATATGACTTCTGACAAATTGAGCAACAAATGAAATGCATAATTAAAAATTATTTTTTTTATACATTCACAAGTGAATTTCAGGCTTCAGAGATGCGGGCCAGTTCAGGAAAAATAGACCCAGCGGATAAAGATAGAGGGGAAAAGAGTTTTCAAAATAGCTCACAGCATGCACACAGACACAATGGCAGTGGATTGTCAGCCGCGACAGAGCCAAATCCTATGGGCATTTGTGTGCAGAGCAAAGCTTTGGTGAGCAGTTGTTTTCATTCAGTCATTTGTGCTGATTAACAGTGATCATCACTACATGCAGACATGCAACCCCACCCCATCTCTTGTAAATGCAGAGTAGGGAGCAGATTTGTGATTCTATTATGTAGAACAATTTAATTCCTTAATATTGTCAGGGGCAAAAAAATGTCCGTCGCCTCTTCAGTTGTCAGTAGGGTCTTTGGATTTGTGCCAATCGGCAAAAGGCTAGTGGAAAAGATATGTTTACCGCGCGTTTCTGCTTTAAAACATGATTATTGATCTCAGCGGGAGCACTACAAAACTTCACATCTCGCTCTCCTTCTCTTTCCCCTCTCAGGGCCACTGGTGGTAGAGTTTCAGTTTGCCCGAGAGAACAGGACACCTCGCTCTGTTTATTCCATCTCTCCTGGTGGTCGATTTTTCATTCCAGAAATAACCGGTACGAGGGTGCCCCTGGTGTATTTTCTGTACAGATGCCACTTTACACGACATCAAAGAGGGAAAGTGAATCACACACAACCCCTTGCCCCACACACGCTACTACCACCTGCTCTGTAACCCAGTCACTGTCTCACTGAAACGCCACCTCATGTTGTGTGTTTAATGTATGGACACGTCCCTGAACGTTGTAGGAAATCTGCCTCTATGTACAATAGTTATGACAATAGTTATGACAGTGATTCACAAAAGCAATAGTGTAATAGTAAAACTACATTTGTGACATTTTTAATGACAAATTCGAAAACACAAATATTCTACAATTTCTACACCCTGATAGCACATCAGACTTTTTTTTTCTTCCTGGACTTTGTTAAAAACAATTAAAAAAACCAGCAATCAATCAAAGCAGATACATAAACTGTTCTCAGTGTTTCTGTATGATTGTATCAAATTAACTGTGCCTAATATGAACTAACGTAATGGGTAAGTATAGTTGCTTTTTATTGCCTTTCTACTGTACTTACAGACTAAACCAGAACAGAAAACACACGGACTTCACAATAAATATGAAAATACATTTTTGCCTGGCAAAATACCATACTGACTTCTACGCTCCATTCAAATATTTTACTGTACACCCGTGTTGGCTGCTACAATTGAATTACGTGTACGTATTAAAAAAACCAAATACATTAATCAATCATTAAATCGCCCCTATCCAAACACTAAAAGAAGAGTGTTTCTGTTAATTTTTTACTCTCAACAAGGGTCGTCCACAGTCTGAGACCATACATCCTTGGCACCCTTGGCAACAGTCTCCTAGAAACAACATCCTTCTTGTTTTCCATCGGCCCATATGTGATGTGTGGCTCCCGGATCGTTTTTGAAACCTCTTCCACTTAAACGTGAGGTTTAATCATGTTACATATCGGGGGTTATGTGATGCTTTCCTGAACACAAAAAATTGTAAAAGTCTGTAAACCCTTGAGGGATCCTGCTGTGCTTCTTTGCCATTCAAGCTAAAGATTATACTGATTGTGTAGTTTGTGTTCTGCGTGTGTGTGTGTGTGTAGATCTTTAAAAGCATGTATGTGTGCTTGTCTTTAACACAAAGAAATGTTTAAAATCTGCATACTGTGAACGGTAGCGAGGCAAATAGGTAAGAGACTCCGCCTCTGTCACCTCGAGGCGCCTTAACCATCAGCACCCACCAGCGAGTCAAGAATCACACTAGTTGGCAAGTCAAAAAACAACAACGGCTTCAGTGTTGAAGTCCCTTCCTCTCTCTTTTAACCTAGAGAGATTGTCAGTGTTTTTTTTTTTTCTTTTTTTTTAAAAGTGCTCCTTGAGGGGAGGGGTTGCAGGGTATGGCGGCCTGTGGTCCAATCAGGACAGTTAATTCCTGGAGGATTCTTCAGACCGGGCGCTATAAAGACAAGATGGCAGCCAAGAGTATGAGGGCAGAGCTGAGCAGGAGGACTGAAGTCTGGCGCCGATCAACGGAGTTCACATCCCTTCGAGCCGGCTCCGGCGACTCGTGACCAATGCCGTCTGAAGGGAAGGAGATGAAAATCATTTACATGCAAAGCAGCCCAAACATAAGAAATAAAGTGGGGCTTTTGTTTTCTCCACGAGGAAATCAGACACCGTGAGCAGGACTGTTGGTCATACTCTGGTACGTGCATAATGAATTGAATAACTGCAAATTTACTTGGGCATATGCACCACTAAAGCAGAGTATCAATTGAAATGATGAAGTCCTTCAAAAGGCACCTTAACACCAACTGTTAGCTTTAACACGCCTCCTTCACGTGTTCATAAATGCTTATTCCTAAATAAAAATTAGTTTAAAGGACTTACATATCTCATTGTTAAATATGAAGCTATGCCTCAGGAAACGGTTAGCTTAGTTTAGCAGAAGGACTGGCAAAAGCAACAAGTTGGGATTTTACGAGAGGTTATGTGTAGGTTATTTCTTGACTGGGCACAGTGACTTCCTAGAGTCATCACAATGAGCTGCCAGGCAACCTGCTCAAAACCCTCCTTTAAACCAAAGCATATGGTCCTCAGTTCTTATACTTCTAAATCCTTAATGCATATTCATGAGTCATGGTGTACAAAATGAAAGAAAATTCTAAAGGAAATAAAAAGAAAAGACTATTATAAGATTGTTAGCAGTTGTGGGAAATGAAATTCTACCCTTAACGCATGCGTGCACACACACGCACACACACACACACACACACACACACACACACACACACACACACATAAACATTATGTACTGTTTATTCCCACCAACCTCTGGGTTCTAGGGAGTTGTGACTGTTCTCGTCAAAATCGACCCCTTCCTGCACGCTCCCAGAGTTTTTCACACAATTGTCTTTGGAAAAAAACAAAGAGGAGAGAGGATACGTGAAGATTAGAGAACTCGAACGTCACTCGTCCACAGCCTGAACACAAGCTGGTGCACAGCAGAATGGAAAACTGGGCAGCATAGACACAACAATCTGCAACTCACTTTGAGGCCTGACGAAGACTTTGAGTCGAAGGCAGCTCCTTCTTCCCTTGTCGTCAGTGATAGAGGCTGTGGAAACATCACGCAGAGTTAAGAACAAAACACTTTCAACACCATCCAAAATACCTTCCTTGATCTAATCCAGGGCTGCATGATTATTGTTTGAAATTACGTCATTTTGCTGAAGAACGAGATCAAGCTGATGTCATCCATCCTCAACAACAGTTTTGTTTGGATAAATTAAATTGCTTTCACTTCCATATTTTACTTTATAAACAAGCACAAAATGAACAAACACTAGGGACACAAATCAAACTTTCTGAAGTGTCAGCATGGCACCTTATCACCTTTAAGCATTTATTAAAGAAAATGTGATGATTCAAATACTATCAAACTAATACTATGAATATGTGGCCCAAATCCACATATTCATTTAATTTTATTTACCTTTTCATTTAACCAGGGAAAAGTCTCATTGAGACAAGAGAGACCTGGCCAAGAGGGCAGCATAAACATAAACAGCCGTAGACAACTGTTACATGCTACAAAATCTACTTTCTACAAAGCCACACTGACAAAATTTGAACTTCAGCTCTGAAAAAAACAAAAAACAATTGGAGATACGATTCTCCCAAACAACACACACAAATTAGGACTGTTTCTATGTTTTCTATATGTTTCAACACGCGAAATAAAGATTAAAACATTCAAAAATGCGTTACTTGATAAAACAATCACCTGTCTCAATAGTTTTGTAATTGGTAAACACCTGCAACATTAGGGGTACATTGTCTCAAACTGGACCGATATATAGAACCTATAATGTCCCAGAGCAGTTTGTCCTATTATTGGAACAGATTTGCTAAAGATGGAAAGATTCCTGGTTACATTACAGAAATGTTAGTGTTTTACTGGAAACACTAAGCTGTTAGACAGAATGTAGCCCATTTATCTATGTGTTTCCAAAATGCATCCATTTTCACCAGCACTTACAAGAGGTAGGGCTATGTATCAAACCTCAGTGCTCTCTCTGAGCTGACTGAAATGTGTCCACAGCAATGAGAAGCAAACTGAAAGTACAGACAGCTTGTGTTTTTTTTTCAAACTTTGGCAAAGTTCTCGTACACCTGCTTGTGTTTAGACATTTAACATTTCAGAGCTTATAATACAAACGTTCTATATAAAAAACATGTTTCTATTTCTCAAGGTAAGGTATCGAGTAACACCCAGCCCTACCAAGATGAACACAATTACACATGTATGCATCAATAATCTAAAATCACAGGTATTGTTAATTCAGTATGCAGTCAGATTGTCTGTTCTTAGTCGAACTGAATGCAGCTACTGACGGGATCAGACTACACGGAGTGGACGACAACAAAGACAGTATCTGGAACACGTCACGTTTTCTCGTCTTTTCTGGTCTATTTTGACAACTTCAACTTCTTTAAACCTTAACTGGTGATCGTAGATTGCCATGTCTCTGGGCCAAGTCGTGGAAAGAAAGGCAAAAATATAGTTTAGTTAGTACTTTTTCTCGTCCTAGCTCTGCAAACCCACTAAGCAATCTGCATTCACTTCACAGATTCACTCTCTAAAATGTACCTTCATTCATGAACATCAGCTAAGCAGTAGAAACGAACCACCCGACAAGGTCGATTGTTTCTTCATCAGAGGTATCTTATCTCGTTCTAACTACAGTCTGAAGAGCTTTATCTCACCTTCTGAACTTCCCTCTCATCCTAATACTCCATATTTTATGATATAAAACAACTCAATGTCACCCTCATATTTCCAAGTCTAATTTGCCCAGGGGCAGTCATTCCTGCAGTTGGGTGGCATGATGTTACGCTCACCTACAAAATCTAATTTCCTCTGTTTCCTGATTGTGAACGACAACGATTAAAAATTTTTTTTTTTTTTTGCATGGTTGCTGTGATTTTTTCGCAGAACGAACAAAACTAATCCTTTTTCAAGTCTTCTTGGGACCTTGTCGCTAATAGAGTGCAGGGGGTGTCTCCAGCTGTGACGGATGACTTCAACTTCTGTCTGCACTTTTGTCAAGAATATTTTTATGTTTTGTCTGGCCTTTTCTTCTTCCCACATTAAATTTTTTCCCTTGTCTTTTTCCTCATGGGCCTCGATACCCTGACCTGTCATTTCCTGCTGCCTGCCAGCCCTCTCGAACACACACACACACAACCTTGACTGTGTCTGGATTTTCATGTCTGTGTGTCAGGTATGTATGCATGAATGTAATTATGGTTTTCCCAAAGATGTGCAGCTGAGCACAGACGTGTCCATAGTTTGTCCACAGACACTCTTCTATCTTTTCAACCAGAGACACTCTGTGTGAAGTAAACCATGTCAGTGTTTCCACTCTCGCCAATGAATGTGGCTCTTGTTTCAAAAGGCACTTTACTATCAGACGTTGTGTGGCTGTGAGAGGAGATAAAAAATCATCTTTAAAACTTCACCATGAGAGGAATATTGGAAGTGAAGCAGCAGAAGGAGGAAATAAACGAGAGAGAAACGGTGTCCATCACGCTGCTTCTGTCTGTGTCAGCGGGTATCGGGTAACTTACCTCACACCCAGACGGTGGCTGGAACAAACGGGAGAACTCACTGTCTCAGTTTCTACCTCTGAACTTGACTGGTCTTTCTATTTCTTTATGCCTTTCATGCTCCCTCTGTCTGTGTTTCCTTGGCTGTCATTATCTCTCTCTAACTTTGTTTAACCCCCATAAAAAGTAAACCTCTGCGTTCTTGCACGAACGTCTTGAAGCACAGATATATTGAGACACATTAGCCTATAGGAAAAAGGAAGTAGCCACTGTCCCCAGCTCCCATCTAGGACGTTTTATAAATCTTGTTAAATTATTCAGATTAGGGCAGCAACTAATAAATACTTTGGTTATCTAATAATCTATTGATTTATTTCTTGCTTACTTCTGTTTTTTTTAATTAATAGTTCATATATAATTGATCAATTGATCATTTCAGCACTAATGCAGATCAATTATTTCTTTGGCTGAACATTTCTATTGTTCTATATTTTTCCTAGGACTAGTTTACTGTAGGTTCGTACAACAGCCAGGAAACTGTTTCCCCACAGTCACCACATTATTGACCAAGATATATTAAACTGCAGGTAACCATAGCAACGATACATATGCTTCACACTACATTGCAATTAAAACACATCTGAAACAGACACTGTAAACTGACTGAATATGTTAGATGGCACGTTATTGCTTTAATGTGGTATTTTCTGTCAAATTATTTGTCTTGGTACGTTGGTTATTATACAAGTTATTATTCGTCTGGTGACCATTCCTACGTAAAATGTTTTTTTAGATCTGAGGAAAATCTTTCATCCCCAAAATGCTTAAAAAAGTCTTTTCTGTTAAAAAAAATGGCCTAAAATGTGCAGAATCTTTTCTTCCTTCTTTCTCTGTTTTACTACTATCGTTGCACCGTCATTCTCTCTTCTCACTTTCTTACCCTCTTTCTTACCCTCTTTCTCTCCCCCACACCACCATCCCATCACAGATTCCAACACACACACAAATACCCAACAGTCTCTCTTTCTTTCTCTCAAGTCTGCCACTGAGGTCAGAGTCTGGGCTGTCTATCCTCGAGCAACACGGCCGGGCTCCACCATGAGTGTAACTCCAGCTCTGCTTGCAACTCTAGACCCAGCGTTAGTCAGGTCCCCCGGCCGCTGCCTCACCATGACAACGGGACGACGGTAAACCTCTAGCTCACACGCTCAGGCACAAGTTACAAGTTCAGTCATGTGCTGCGGGACCTGTGATCGTTGCAATCACACATCCGGGACTGGCAACGCATATCAAAGATCCCCAAACAGGCTGAGATGCCATGTAAGGCCAAGCTTTGGTGTGACTGTGAAGTGAATTAAACAGATCCTGATATTAATACTGCAGGTTCAGATGTTTGTCTTGTGATGATCGGTTTATCTTGGGGAACAAAGCCTCTTGTCTTTGCTTCAGCTGCGAAAAAAGCTAAAGGGAAACTGTCGGGGCACTGTGCCGGCGGGGTTCATGTCATTATCGATGTAGATCTGCGCTGGCTGTACAGAGCAGAACCCGGGCGTTTGAAGCGAGAGGGCTTTACAGGGAGACAGTCATCTCTCTCACACAGGGAGAGCCAGACTCTCAACTGTCTCCTCCGAAAATTGGATTTCTATCCCCTGAGATTAGGATCAGGCTTTCCCCGCTCCACTGAGGCTCTATTAGAAAAACATGCCGCCCTCTGAGGCCACGAGAAGCTCGCAGCACAGACCTCATTGTCATCTCGGTGACCTTTGACCTTCTAGGACCAGCCGCAAGACTGATCCCACACCAGGGCGGCTTTCCTCTGGGTGTCAGTCTGTCTTTGCCAACTGCAGGTGTCATCTATTTGACGTGGCCTCACCACCTCTTCCACCCTGCCTGGGGCGAATGACGATCACCACAAAGGAGGACAAAGGAGTGTCTGTCTTCACTGAGACAAGCAGACATAAAACCCCTCTTCAATGTGTCATTTACATGGCCACTTAACGAATTCCCAAACCATATTATATGTTCAACTATCAGCTATTGTTAAACTTTGTCAGAACAAGACACCAGCAGCTGATAAAATAGACTTTACTGTAACGCAACCCGCAACTCTGGAAGTGGATGATGCTGCTGGGAAAAAAACAAGCATCCATCTGAAAAAATATGTGAGATTTCATGCAATCAATGCATCAATATACATTTCAAGGCTCCAAGAAAGACTCAAGAACAAAGTCTTTGAGGGAATAAGTGATGATATACTGTCTTTGAGGGAATAAGTTATGATATACTGTGAGCTTTCAATTAGAATAAAGAAAAATGAAACTTGCCTGCAAAATTGGAGTAGCAACACGGGAAGGTTGAGAAGTAATAGCTTACTGAAAGTTGGAGCACCTTGAGGCTTGCATGGACATAAAACTCAAGTACAAAAGATAAGCAACTGCATTAGATATAATATATTTTGTACTTTGATTTAAAAAAGGCAAAGGCACAAGTCTGTGGATAAAAAAACACCAAGCCTAAATTTTCTGTAACTGTACCACTAAAGTTGCAACAGCAGCTGTGGCTCATGGACGTTGTAGTATCTGGCCGCAAAACAATGTTTTGCTTCATCATACCAAGAAAAGTGTTTTTATATAGAGGAACACAGAGGTTAGCATTCGAACATGAACATCTCTATACCATGTGAGGATAAATATTGGGATGATGTGAACATTTCTGACGATAAGGCATTGGTATTTTCCCAGAGGTGTGTTTGTCTTTTCTTTCACCCCATGCTCAGATCCGATGTCTTTAGTGAACAAGGATCTGATGGATGAGTCATGAATCAGTGAGAGATAGCCCATATGGCCTGAAACTGCTTAAAGCCATATGAATGTGCCTCTTTCTCTCTCTCTCTCTCTATCTCTCTAGATGATCAATCATCTAGCACATCGTCTTCACTCAGCTTCACATCAACCAGAGCCAACTGAACAAATGAAGCAGAATTAGGCAATCTATAATTTTTCTTATCAACATCCAAGGAATTGCAACAACATCAACAATTGTCTGGCACGGCTAACGGTAGACCACAATTTCCCTAAACAATACAGTCACATCTATGTAATGAAGTCAAGTGGACTAGCCAAAGGACATGAAGAAATCCAACAGTAACATCAAGTGAAGGGTTGTACATCATAACACAAAATACTGCAACAAAAATACAGATTTGGTTTAACTCGCATGAGGACAAACTTGATGATGCTGTGATCTCAGATGCTTTGCTTGTAGCTCCGTCCAAGATCAGCAAGGCAAAGACGAAAGTGTTGAAAGACACGAGGAGAACAAATTCTCCAATGACTGATATTTTATTGTCGACCGTAACAACTTCATTATAAAAATCTTCCTTGTGATCTCGACTGACCTGCATTACAAACGCACGGAACTTCCTTTAGCTTCCAGTGGAGGTGGCAAAGTTTTCAAAGACACAAAATATGTCAAGATCAGTGACCAGCTAACATGTAGCAAATCCTTATTTGCATTGTCACAGGAAGAAATTCCCTCTGGGATTGGTAAGATGAACCAAACTATGTATATTTTTTAAATGAAATCAGAGTTTCAGGCAGCATTCTGAAACACCTGCTCTGGGTCAGTAGGCAAGGCTAAAAAGCTGCACCAACAATGTAGAGGGGAAGCACGAAGAATAAAACTTAATTCATACTTCCCCTACCAAGTCACCAGTTTGCTTGGATTTTATATCTTTATTTGTACTCGTAATGTCTCTTTTCACTGACTCTTGTACTTTATGCAATTTATTCCTCCTAACTGTTTGTTCCTCTGACCGATGTAAGCTAAAAATCTGCCATGGAGAACACTGTATCTCATTTAGTCCCTCTCTTCTGCCCCTGCAGGGCTCTGACTTTCCTTATGAAAACACGACTTCCCAGCTGTTTGTTTTCCTGAGTCTTATCATGAGGAGGGGAACACTGACCTCAGCCAGTCAGCAACAAAAGACACTTCAACAGTGGAAATGTTTTGCTCCCTCTGGCTCATGTTTTGGCTTGGCCCTCATTCCAAGAAGAAACAAAAACCCAAACATTGTTGGTGTCTTTTTAAAAGATTCCAAGATGAAATTAATAATAATCTTATTGCAGTTAATAAATAACAAAGTTGTCAAATTATGTTGTTTGAGCACAAGCAGCCATACAAGAACTTTCTGACCACATGTTCATTGAAGACTTTGATTTGTTTTATGATACACTGCCAAATGGACACATTTAGGTGTGTAAAAGTATTCATTTCTGTAAATAATACAGAGAGGTAAGCACATACTCACAGATATAATAATACTCTCTGCCAGGGCGAAACTCGAAGCCTAAGGAGAAGGGAGTAAAGAGCTGGAACTTCTCTGAGAACTTCAGCGGTCCATTTGGTGACAGAGGCCTGTTGCACTCCCAGCGTTTGAAGCCCTTGGCAGTGTGGTCGCAAGAGCTGTAGCCGTCGTAGTTCACCATGTAGAGGACATAGCGCTCGGCCCGCTCGTCAGAGACCGGGCCAATGTAGTGTGGACAGTAGACGTCAAGGTAGTCGTTGATGCAGACATCGATGTGGTAATCGCCCCGGTAAAACCTGGAGGAGAGACAGCGAGAAAATAGAGGGGAACATGAGTGGTTTGTGCAGGAAAACATAAAATCTACGTGAAAGTATCAAAGCTGCTCAAAGAAATTTTGGGGCAAGTGTCAAGTCTTTGTAAAAAAATTACAAGCCAGCTGCAAGCCGTTCAGGTCTGTGACTGATGACTGTTGAAATAAAAGTTAAAACCTGTTAAAAGATTCTTTTTGCATAACCGAGACCAAGTTATTTCAAAACACAGGCCTTGTAATTAAATATTCTGCCTCAAAGTCACTTTTCTTTTATTGCTATGGGTTTTTTCCAGGGCAAAACATGCAACTTTAGGGAGTCTCAAGTAAGTCAAATAGGAAGTCTTTGTTTTTTTCACTTAAAGGCATCCTATGGAGTTTTAGACCACTAGTAGTGCTAAGCAGCAGCAGATTTATTTGAGTCCCCATTTTGTTTTGCACGCGGTGACATAATGCATATTCCTGCCAATGGTTTGACAGTGACTGACAGGTGGTGGTAACGCAGCAATGTGCCAGCCAAAGACAAGAAAGGATGTAAACAATGAAGGTATCAAAATGCAAAGCCGCAAATGTTTTGAGGAAAGAAATGCATTCACATTTGTTAGACCTTGTTTGTTAGAAAATATGCTGAGCATGCATGCTCTGTCCACGGCAGCCTGCTTTGTGTTTTGTACACATTTAACATTCAGATCCCCTGAAGCTGTGCTTTGCTTAAGGGTACATTGGTAGCAGCTGTTTCAGGGGAAGGATAGTTACTTATTGATTTGTTTGGGGAGTCTCTCGCCATCGTGCTCCTTGATGATGCGTTCTCCAAAGAGTTATGAATACTCCAACACATGATGACAAGAGATTATACTGTGGGTGTCTTAGTGAGGCCACAGCTGAAGAAAAAGTTACCATATGTGCTTGAAAACTGAGGCTGGAAGGCTGTGAAAGACACATCCAGGTTAGGGCCCCGGATTTGTTTACAGGATCTCATCATGTTAGTCTCAGTCATACCGAGCTTCCTGTGACACTCCACCGAATCCCACCACAGCACACCCGCCCTGGCAGAAACTTCTTACGACACACGCTAGCCAGTCCTAAGCCATATATCAATGTTAGTGCTCAGCAGCAATGACTTATGCTGGTGCTGAAATTAAAGTCCCCTAGCGTTGCAGGGCTAATCCCCTGGTTAGCATGTGCCTTTAGCAGCTTTAAGAGGATCCCTCTGTAGAATGAGAATTTGATTAGCCCAATATGACAGCTTGATGTAGGAACCCCTTGTGGGAATCTCCGAGTCTGAGAAAATGAGGCCTGTTCTCAAACCTCGCCTTGAAACAGCCCCAAGATTTTTCGCCTGGTGTTTACTGTAAACTGAGTGGACAGGAGCAAAGGGGGGGGGGAGTGCCGTTGCGAGATATGCCAGGTATTCATTCCTGAGGAGAATGATTGGAAACACATATTCCCATAGGCGCCATATAAGGTTACATTTCTGAAGCTTTTAGCAGAGACAGATTAGGCTTGGACAGCCAGCTGGTTGCGACTCTATAGCTGCTAATGGCCCGCGGTTCAGTATCACTGACATAGTGCGGATGTCTTCAATACTCCACCTCTGTTCATTGACACAGTGAGGACCGTCAGGGGAGACAGGCCAGAGACCGTGTTGGAGCATGCAGCACGCTGATGATCCGATACGGGTGAACTCGCCAGAGCACCACGGGGGGGCTTTTACCCTGATGTTTCACAGGGCCTCGCTGATCAGATATTACGCCTACTCCTGCACCTCGCCGAGGGAATGGGGAGTACCAGTCAGCTGATGCCAGGTGAGACAGGGAGGGAGGGGTTGAGACGCAGCTGTTGCCGCTGACATGTTCATGTTGGGGCTTCGGGAGGCATGAGTAGCATAAAGGGTGTCAGGTTGTCGTTACACAGATTGTAAATGTGCTGCAGGATTAGTAGCTGTCCTACTGGGTTTGCAGGGGCCACAAATGAGCGGATGTGTGCGTATACGTGATGGTGGGGTGTGTGGGTGTCTATGGCATCAGCAGCGATATTCTAATCTCTTTCTCTCTCTAATTATAGTCTGGTCAAATGTGAAACCGAAGCCCTTGTTTTCGCTCCCAGTTTTTTTTTTTTCTTCTGCCTTCTGCACTAGCTGAGCACTTTGGCTCCAGGCAGGCACAGCATGGCCTCCCTTAGCTTCAGTTTTAGAGCTGCTCGTTGATATTATGACTTCCAGGGGTCAACCGGCTCCACAGTATCATGTCCTGAGCCAGAAGCACTGTGGGATAGCCTGCTTTGTTTTCCCGCGTCCTTACAAAGACTTAAATGTTAGCTTCAACCTTGCAAGTGTCACTGGCTGTCAATCAAACCTGACCCAGGAGTAACAGCTAAGATTAGTCAGGCTTAGGGAAGAGTTTTTAACGAATGCCTTTGTGAGAGAGAGGTGGGAAAAAGTTTGTGAAACTAATGACGACCCTGCTCAGAACTAGATTCTTTTTTTCAGATACATCTAGATTGTATGTGGGTACAGCATTTACACCTGGCATTAACAGGCATCTCATAATCAGTCTCCATTTTGCACCCAACAGAGATCAATACAATCATCACTACTCAATGCTTTAGTGTAGAAAAATCTAAACAGTAAGTCAGCCGCCATCTTGGCCTCCAGCAGACAAGTTTGTTCACTCAACAAGAATTGAGATTAGTTGGAAGTTTTATGATTTTGTTATTCTAGCCATTGAAACAACTACTTTCAAACACGTAGTTGCTATAAAATTTGTGATGTGAGTTTTGGGGGTTATCCAGAGAAGTGGGAATGCCTTTTATGAAAGTGGCTTTAATTTAAAATGTAACTTTTCAAAAAAAAATGTCTTGCTAAACTAATTCATGCATGAAAAGCATTTGTGGTTTAACCAATACCCCATTACAGCTACACTTACATTTTTATCTTGACAGTCAGGACACACGTCAGTGAAACAGTATGTCAGTATGAAAACAGCGTAGTTAGGAAATGTCATCAAAATAACTAAACTGACAGAGTCACAATTCATGACAAAAAATTTTTAAGCCAGCTGTTGGTAGCTGTGGGGGGATGTGCCATGTGTGGGCATTGCACCCCACTGCCCCAGTTTAATAGCAGGCATAGAAACAATCCCTGCCTGCAAATGTGATCAGTTTCTAATTCTTCTTCTAATTCTTATTTGTTTTTGCTATCCATTTCTTGTTCAGATCACCAGAGATCACCAGAGATTGATTTGGATGGCACTTCTGAACAGGGTCAAACAAAAGCAACAAAGAGGCTGCACTACTACTAAAGTCTAAAATACGGGCTGTAAGATGTATACTACACAAGACGAAAAAATGCATAGTGAGAGTAGCAAGAGTGCCAACAGATGATCCAGATGTTTGCCAGATGAGGAGGTTTTTGAGTGGCAGAATGATATATTGACAAGACACAAAGCCATAAACACACAGCCTGACTCAAGATGCGTTAGTCAACCCTCAAGGTCTTCTGGTGTTTTCTTTTGAGGACGCTGACCAGAGACTTTCTCCAGAGACTTTCTCCTGCTAATTTCCAATTTGATCTCAACTATCTCTACCCTGAGACTCTGACAGCATCCATTGCCCACCCTACCCAGCGCTGTGGGCTGGACTGAAGTGTGAGAAACCTTCATTCATTTACCAAGCTATAAACCTTCTGCAGTTTTCACAATCTTCAGCATCAGGATTTCTTCACTTTCATTACCAGCAAGATTTATCCATCTGTTTTTCTAAATGGCTTTGTTGTTATAGGCTATTTAGTGAGTCATTAAGCCTTCACAGGGCTGATCGAGGCAATTTCAACAGTTGTGATTTCCTTTTGGCATTGTTCTGAGCAGCAGGAAGGCTGATCGAGGGCTGATAGCAGGAGGCGCAAAGTACGATCAGGCTATGGCAAAAAAAAAACAACCCAACCAGCACGGTTCAGCAGTTCAGTGTCAGTTATAAATGTGTCATAATGAGCCATTAACAAAATAAAAGCACCTAAATCCTAAATCCATTTGTCTTGGGGATTAATGATCCCTGATTGGCTGAATTACTCACGGCCAGTTGGAGGGGCTTATCAATGAATCAGTAACTGGAGCTCTTAACAAAGCACACATCTATGGCTAATCCTTCTTTTCAGTCAGCTCCCCTGCTTGTTTGCTTTCTTTATCCCCTTCTGTTGTGTTTTTGTCACTCTGGGGCCTGGCACTGGTAAGGTATGGTAGGGCCAATGTAGAGGAAAGCACACAGAGAGTTTGCTGATGCTAGGTTTGTGTCCATTAAGAGTGGTACATTTCCAGAAAGAAATACAAAAGACATGACCTCAGTGCGCCCCTCTGAGAGTATAACTGAAGAAAAGTAAGCCAGGTAGTCATAATGTTGTGGTCCTTTCAGAAATAGAGATAATAAAAGTTAGTTTTATCAGAGATAATAAAAACTAAGTGGCTTCTAGGTCCAAGAAGCCAAAGAGGGAAGAGAAGAGAAGGGATAAGAGAGAAGAGGATCAAAAAGAAGAGAGTAAACAGGATGTGTAAAAGAGAGGTGAGAAGCAAAGAGACAAGTAGAGGAGCAACAAAAGAAATTAAAAGTGATGAGAAAGTAGAAGGAGAGGAGTGCAGAACACAAGATGGTAGACAAGAGTAAAAAGACAAACAGGAGAGGATCAACAGGAGAATACGGGGGAAGGAGAGGAATCAAAGGACAAAGGGATAGAACAGAGGAAAGATGGAAAAAAGAGACTAGTGGGGGAAAAGAAAAGGAGGAAACGAGACAAACAAAAAGAAGAAAAGCAAAACTAGAAGCGATAAGGAGAAGAGGGAGGGAGAAAAGTATAGAGTTAGAGAAAAGTAGAGAGCGGAACAGAGCATAGAGGAGCAAAGAAGAGACGAAGAATGTAGACAAAACTGGAGGGCAGAAAAACGTAAACACTAGGAGGAGAAGAGGATAAAGCCCTCCTGTTGTTTTTCCTCATGAACACAG